GGGGGGGGATATGGGAGCGTGGTGGCACCTTTCGCTTTGTTCAGCCTCAAAGCTCTGCCCGGGCTTAAAAGCAGATTTTTTTTTGCCCCGTCTGCACGTGAAATCAAAGTTTTCTCCCCCATCGCACGGGGGACCTGTGGGAGCTATTTCTCTAGAAATCTTGGGGAATAATCCCTGCCTCCTGGGCTAGACCTGGGAAACAGATGAAAAACAAGCCTGGGAAATGAAAAAAAAAAAGAAAAAAAAACCAAGGAAAGGTTTCTAAGCTGACATTCCCCAAGGATAAATTAAAAATACATACCCCAGCACCTTCAAAAAAGGCACTGGCTGCATCTCCTGTGTTGTCCAGGAGATCATCACTGTCAATCTGTAATTAAAAAGATTGGTTGAAGCCGTCGGGGAAGAGAAACGAGTCGTCGCTCACCTTTTCGGATCCATGTAAAAAATCGTTCAGGGCCTGAGGATCGCTGCAAAACAACACGGGAAAGCGGTTAGGGGCGCCACACCTGACCCGCGGCCTCTCCGCAGCCCACCACGCGTCTCTAATTAACACCTTGCTCCTAAGCGCGGTCATTAACGACGTACGCCGATTTCTACTTCAATGGCTACGCTTTATTACAGATATAAATTAACGTACAGGTGCTGCGAGAAGGTAAATGTTCTTCTCCGGGGTGGCTCACACCGCCTTATTCCCATTTGTTCTCCAAAGCCCCAATTACCGATGGTTTCGCAATCACGATTTTATTGGAAAAAAATGTCAAAAAGCCAAATCGTTTGGGCGACCCGCTAACGAGCACCCCCAGCCCGGAGCCGCGAGGGTTGGAGAGCAAAAAAAACAACCCCCAAAATCCTATTTGGTGGCAAAATATCAGCGGGATGGGATTTATTGGTGTTATCGGTGGGACGCGGTTGTTCTTTCCTCGCGTGAAACCTCCTCCGCAGCGCTCTCGGCTTCACGGGAGGAACCCAACCCATACGTGGGGACGGGTTTGGACGCCTCCAGCCCCTTCCTGGAGGATTTTCGGCTGTGGGAGACGCGGCCCGGCACTGGAGAAGCCGGGGGACGTGCCGACAGAGCGAGGGTGGCGAAAAGCCCCTTCCCACCCCTCCGCCTCTCCCCGCAACGGCAGGAGCGCCGCGGCGGCGTCCAGCTCACTTACCAAATTACATCTAGCAGGCACCGGCCGTCTTCATCATCCATGTCAACTGCAAAGAGCGGAGAGAGACCGCGTTACCCTCGGGAGAGCAGAGGGGCCGGGAGACGCTCCTCGGTCCTTCCGTCCCAACCACCGCGCTTCGCCTCCCCTCCCCGTCCCAGCCGCGAGGAGGACGACGATGTCCTGCTGCTGCCTGACCATGGGGGACACCCCAAGGGCACAGAGGACACCTCAAGAGGAGACTTCACCACTCCAGACACCCCACCGAGCTCGAGGAGGTGCTGTGGGTGGGATGGGTTGATCCCAACTGGGGCCACCAGCCTAGAGAACGGCTTTGTGGAAGAAGATGCCAGTCCAGCGTTGGCCGGCGATGGGCCCTGTGGCCAACTGAGGCCAGAGGAGGGTTGCCCAGACGGACCGGAGCACCCAGCGGTGCAAGGTCACGGCCAGCAGCAGGAGAACTGTCACCTCCTCTGTTATCACTCCCCACCGGAGAAGCCAATGGTGGCCAAGCCACCCATCTCCACCACCATTCCTTGAGCGATGGCTACGGGTGAGACAACTGGGAACCCAAAAGCGTGGTCAGCCGAGCCCATGACCAGCAGCCGAGGGACCTGCTTGTCCCTCCACCACGCTCATCCCTCCATCGTGGTGGCCCATCCCTCCGTCATTGTCCATCCCTCCACCACGCTCATCCCTCCATCGTGGTTGACCGTCCCTCCATCATTGTCCATCCCTCCGCCACGCTCATCCCTCCATCGTGGTGGCCCATCCCTCCATCGCAGTTGCTCGTCCTCCCCCACGCTCATCCCTCCATCGTGGTGGCCCATCCCTCCATCGCAGTTGCTCGTCCTCCCCCACGCTCATCCCTCCATCGTGGTGGCCCATCCCTCCATCGCAGTTGCTCGTCCTCCCCCACGCTCATCCCTCCATCGTGGTGGCCCATCCCTCCATCGCAGTTGCTCGTCCTCCACCACGCTCATCCCTCCATCGTGGTTGCCCATCCCTCCATCGTGGTTGCCCATCCCTCCACCGCGCTTGCTTGTCCCTCCACCGAATAGATTCCACCAGCAGTTCTCCCAACCAGGCATTAGGTTTCACTCCGAAACCCAAACCGGCAGGTTTTTGGCCCGTTTTCACCCCGCCGAGGGGGACCGGTGACCTCAGTCGGCCATGCCCAGATCCTCAACACCAGGAGGCGGTGTGAGCCAGATCCTGGCACCCACAGGCACAGCTTGCCAATAACTCATGAATTAAAAAAAAAAATAAAATCACACATTTAGGTAATTTTATCCCTAAATTTTCACTGCGGCAAAACACATTGGGAGGCGGTTTTGCTCCAGAAGGTGGAATTAAGGGGTTTTCCGCCGATAACCTGAGGTCTGGCCCCCGGCCCCCTCCTCGCAACCCCCTTCTAACGACCGGGTCTGGAACACGCTAGGGGGTTGGAGGGTTCTTTTTTCTTGGTGTTTCCCCTCTTTTTCTCAGATCTGCTCCACAGCTGCGGTCTGGGAGGTGGTACAAAACCCCCTAATGAGGGTCAGCTAATAAAAATCATGAAGACGGGGGGAAAAAAGAAAAAAAAGTAGTCAGCTACCTCTGTAGACTATAAAGAAAAAAATGGGGAAAGCGACTGCAGGATAAACACACCTTTAACGGGCTGAAATTCCCGGTTTTGAACAATTTGCCTTCAGTAGGTGTCTGTTGGCTGTAATTATTTTCAGGCCCAGCAAGTGAATAACCTAAATATGCGACTAATTACCCCGGAGAAGACCGTAACCTGGAGAGCAGGCGCCGCTCCGCCTACAGAATAGGACGGGACCGCGTTATTTTAATTTTTCCACGATTTCAGGCGTTCCGCGGAGTGTTTAGGAGAAACGACGCAACTACAGAAACGCAGAACACAGAGGATTTTCTCCAATTTTTGGCAGAAATCTCCCCTTACCCGGCGGGCGCAAACACCACCGCATCTCCCCAGGGCAGCAGAGCCGCCGCCTGGGTTCTCACCCCAAAGAAATGATATTCCTTAAAGATATGTCATAAATCCGATGACTTTTATCGCTCCAGGCCAGGCAAAGGGCGCGAGGGAGGAGCCGAGGGCGACGTCTTGCATGAGAAGGAACGAGCGCGACGTCACGCACGGCCAGCGGCGGCGTCACCACGGGGCAGGGCCGGGAAGTTAACGATGTCAACTGATAAAATGTGTGCAAAGTCAACAAAAAAAAAAAAAAAAAAAAGAGAGAGGAACGACAGATTTCCGAATAGAGGAATAACAGATTTCCTAATAAAGGACTAACAGATTTCCTACAGGATTCGTTTCGCTGCTGGATTTGACGTATCTTCCTTCTCGTTGGGGTAGAACGAAACCAAAATACGCCGGTAACACCAAAACGGCGATTAATCCGTGACCCGAACTGAGTCATTTTACCCCTTTTTAACCCCCAAAATAACATCGCTGGGTTGGTTTTTCATTCGAAATGGCGACTCGGCCTCCAGCGAGCATCCCTCTTCGCTGCGTCCTCCCTCCGCCTCCAGCACGGGCTCGTGCTCTCCGTAGATATTATTTTTCATTGATTTCTACTGCCAAAACCACGCTTACCTACGGCAGAGGAGTTTTTAGGACTACGCAAATATTTCAAACTCTTTTGGGCTGGAAAGAGGAAAAAGCAGAGGAAAAGGGTTCTGGACCTCGCGGGTGTGATAGGAGATGACGTGGCCCGTGGTGAGCAGAGAGACGAGATCATCTATCGCCAGGAAATCATATTTGAGGCTCTTTGATGGAAAAAAGAAAAAAAAAGGATGTTCTCGATACCTCAGCCAGCAAATGTTCCAGGTAATTCACTTCCCTACGCATGTGCAGCGAGTTTTGCCTCATTTTGTTTGCAAAGAGCCGAGTTTTGCACCTTTACAATATAAAAAAACCCTTCCCCGGAGCGGGATGAGCTTGCTTTTATTCCAAAAACGCACATTATCTTCTGCAAACTTCCAGAACTGTTTTTTTTCTCCCTGTCGTTTTTGCCGTCTTCCGCTTAAGAAACGAATGATTTCGCCAACGCCGTCCCCGGCAGCCACCAGCCCACACGCTTCGCATCGTCGCCACGCTTCCCTCCTCGCGTCGCCCTGCGAGGAGCGCTGCGCAGCCGAAAACCTGCAGGCTGAGAGAAGCCCTAAATACTTGAAAAATTAATAATAAATGTCGACGTAAGCGCTGACTGACATTACTTCACGTCCAAGTCATGCTGGTAACGCTACTGTCAAGGCGGAAAGCCGACTCCCGCCGCCGTTAAATGCGTATAAAACACGACGGTGCTGTTTAATTAATCTGAAAATTGCCCTAGACGGAGTTCCAAGGATTTTCCGAGGCGCGCACCCCTTCCGAACCCAGCCAACCCCACCGGGTGTTTGCAGCAAACCCTGCCACGATTCCCTTCCCCCGGAGTTATTTCAAGCGTTTGATCCCAACTCCGCACCGCAATCGAACGTTTCTGGTGTCGCCCCCGGAAGATTTCGGCTATTCCGCACCTGAACGCGGTTACAACTCTGCTTGTAAATAAACTTTAAAAAGGGAGCGGGTAAAACACGTGGCGTTTCCACTGAAGTCACCTTCAGCGAAGCATTTTTCTTTCCCAGTAAAGGACTGGCAAACGACAGGGAAAACCAGTGCTCGCATCCCACCTCCCTTTTCATCTCCGACACTCAAAATCGCGTCGTCCCAGAAATTAAGTAATTAGGGAGGGGACGGGGGGAAAGGCAGCCAGGAATCGCCGCTCTTGGCAGCGCTCTGCCTGCCAACAAGCGAAAAACCCCGGCGAAAGGCAACGAGGCAACTTTTGAAACGCACGACGATGTTTTTACAGCCCCATTTTGCTTTCAGGCTGGATGGTGGTTTTCCCCATCTTGTTTACGGGAACACAAGAAGAACAGATTTTTGGCAAAAGCCGTGTTTAAGTGTTTCGGTCACAGCTGTGCCGAACCGACGGCAACAACATCAGACGCCGCAGCCTCTTCTGCGGCTCCTCGCTCTGCTCCGCTCCGCTCCGCGCAGGGGACGCTTCGTGCCAACAGTAGTTCTGACTTGATTTTATTATACGATAACGCTCCACGTCCGCCTATTTTTAGATCTCGCCCGCACGCCACACGCTCGCGAAGCTGGGAACGGCGGCGCGGTGGGAGGAAAAGCCTTTCGCCGGGAAGGAAAACACCAAACTTTACGTCCTGGTGAGCTCTTGAAAAAGAGACCAGAAGAACAAAAAAATTGGAGAGATTACAAGCAGTTTTCCTTCTGCCACAGCAGAGGGAAACTGCATCCCTAATTCCCAGATTATCCCGGCGAGGAAAAGAAACCCCCTTGTTGAATCCCGAGGAAACAGCAGCGCAGACCCGAAAAGGGGAACAGGGTTTAAGTATTTCCCGCCCGCTGTTTGCAAACAGGAAAGGAAAGAACCTCCCTCGTCTCTACAGCGCAATTTCCTCCTCGTACGCGCCCAAACTTTAGGTGTTTGGTGGTAAAAAAGTGCCCTGGGGTCACCACGGAGCCGGCTTTCACTTTCGGTCTTGACCAGCCTTGTCCTGGCCGTAGCCCAAACCGGGACAGCTCGTCCCCAGACGGTCGGAGGGACGCGGCGGAGGAAGGGAGCGGGAGCGTGGTCGGCACAGGTTTCACCGACGCTGCCCTGCGCCCGCGGGAGGCGACAGCCGGCAGCGACGGGGCAGGATTTGAACGCCATCGTGGAAATCTGGGCCCTTCGGAGTCCTATCTGCTCCTTAATTGTTAATTATTCTTTGTTTTATCATATTTAAGACACTACAATCGTTATTCCTCTGTGGTTTAGCTTCCCTTTGTAATTAGAGATAATGATTAGAATATATTTTGCATTACACCAGGAACGTTTGAGATAACTCTCTGGACACCCCGGACCGCCCCGAGACAAGGAGCTGAACCAGGCGCCGGCTGCCTTGCCTGCCCCGGCACCGGTAAATCACTGGGACCGGCACCAAAACGGAGCTGCCACCGCATTCAAGCCCCAAATCACCTTCGCAAACC